TTATTTTTATGTAGTGCTGAGAATTGAACCCAGTGCCTCACTATGCTAGGTGAGCACACTACCACTTGAGCCACATCCCCAACCCCTACAGAATGTTTTTTGAAGTATGAAACTTCTCTCTTAATAGTGATTCTTAAATTTGCAATGTCACACAACCACATTAATAATAGTCACTTTATACTAAACTCTTTTCTGGTTTATTACCACTATTTTCTCTTTACAGCATCTTCCCATTTCTTAATTCTTTATTTTGATTCATTTTCCAGTTAAATGAATTACATTCTAGATAAATTTTTTTTAGAAAGAATAAGGGGGTGGCATAATTTCTGAGTGGTTGCTTGTCTAAAACCATCTTTCTTTTGCCCTGGAATATAAAAGGTATTCTATTATAGGAAAGTGTTATATGCTTTGAACCATTTGTCTTTCTAAATAATTGTGTCATTTCCCTCTTCATGGGGTATTTTTGTAGTTGCTTTTGTTATATTTTTAAAGAACCGTTGGCATTTTGCCAGGATAGGTCCAGTTCCACAATTCCTTTTGTTGTGTCTGTGTGTGCACGTGCACACGCGCACATAAATGACTATATAAGTAAATACACACACACACACACACAACCTTAGTTCTGATACTCAGTGAATTTCTCTGCTGGAGTCTTTTATTTTATTTTATTCTCCACTTGATTCTAGCTTGTTTTTCATTTGATCACTTTAAACTCCTAGTAGTATCATGAAATTTCTTTTCTACCCCAAAATACCTAGAGCTATCACATTTCTATTAGATCTTCTTCAGTGATGAAGAAGATGTATACCTCATGAATGTCTTCCTCTGCTCCTTTTTCATTGGGAACTCTGAATTCTTGTTTCCTTAGAGTAAAAATGTTTCTTTGATTGGAAGCTTTATCTTAGCTAAGGGTCCAGTTGTTCCTTGGTATCTGCAGTGGATTGGTTCCAGGACATCCTCTGTTATTATACTCTTCAGTCATCTCTAGCTTATTTGTAATACATAATACAATGTAAATACTATGTAACTACTTTTATACAGTATTGTTTAAGGAAAAAGGACTAGAAAAGAGTCTATGTGTTCCGTATAGATGTAATTTTTTGTGTTTGAAATATTTTCAATCCACAATTGGTTGAATCCGTAGTTGTGGAACCCACAGATATGGAGGACTTAGCTGTACATTGAAGTTGCTGGAGATCATATTGGCTTCTGTGTGTAAAGTTGTTTGATAAAAAATTGTCTTAGTTGTTGGGAAGTGGAACCCAGGTGACATTACATCTTGGTGTACCTTTTTATAGGTAAAAAAAGAAAAAGCAAAAATACCCTATAACTACATTACCATGAATATCAAATCTCCTCCTAACATGTCTTTTTATTTATTTTTTTCATAATTTTCTCCTTTTTATCTTAGTTTAGGGGAAATTTCTTAAGCTGACACTCAGTTTGGATTTTCTGATTCACTAATTGAGTTTGTCTCAGTACACAATCTGCTAGTTACTGTCTTTATATTTCTTTTGGAAATTGCTTTTTTTTTTTTCCTCCTTTAAGAATGTTCTTTTTTGGGCTGGGGTTGTAGCTCAATGGAAGAGCATTCGCCTAGCACGTGTGAGGCCCTGTGTTCAATCCTTAGTACCACATAAAAATAAATAAATAAATAAAATAAAGGTATTGTATCCATCTACAACTACAAAAAGATTTTTTTAAGAAAACAAATGTTCTTTTTCTTTTTTAATGAATGTTCTTTTCCTAGCCAGGTGTGGTGGCATACGCCTGCAGTCCTAGCAAGGAGGCTAAAGCAGGAGGATCACAAGTGTGAGGCCAGCAACTTAACAAGGTTCTAAGCAATTTAGTGAGGTCCTTAGCAAGCTCCTATCTCAAATAAAAAATAAAAAGGGCTGGGGATGTGGATCAGTGGTTAAGCACCCCAAGTTCAATCCTGGGGACCCCTCCCCCCCAACAAAGAAAAGAATGTTCTTTTCTTTCTCTTTCTCTTTCTTTCTTTTTTTTTTTTTGGTACCGGGGATTGAACTCGGAGGCACTGGACCACTGAGCCATGTCCCCAGACCTATTTTGTGTTTTATTTAGAGACAGGGTCTCATTGAGTTGCTTAGCACCTCACTTTTGCTGAAGCTGGTTTTGAACTCCTGCCTCAGATTCCAGATCTGAAAAGCTTTTATTATGACAGCCTCTTCTTTAAAAATTTCTTTTTTGTAGATGGACTTTATTTTATTTTATTTGTTATATGGTGCTATAGATTGAACCCAATGCCTCACACATGCTAGGCAAGCATTCTGCCACTGATCCCCACCATAGCCCCCCGACAACCTCTTTTTATTTTATCAATGATATAATCTCAAATCTCATTGAGATATTTCTGTTTTCTCCTGTTTTGTACAACAGCTCTATCTGAGCACACAAGTTGATCCTCTCTCCTTTTGTGTTGCAGAATATTTTTATATCCAATTATTGTCTCTTTATACAACTTAGAAGGATGTTTCCATTTGTTCTTTAACAAAGGTGGCTCTTTCACAAATCATATAGGCCCTTGTATAGTGTTTGTTCCAGAACAGTCTTCCTTTGGTAGTCTAGAGCTTACTGGTGCAGTAGCCAACACTTAGTCCACCTGCTACATCTGCCTGCCCAGTGCCCTACTCCATCATGTGGTCTCCAAACTGTGTAGCAGACCATGGCTGCTCCTACAGTCTTTAATGATTTTTTTTTTTTTTTTAGGTGTAGATGGACACAACACAATGCCTTTATTTTTATGGTGCTGAGGATGGAACCCAGGTCCCGCCCATGCTAGGCAAGCGCTTTACCGCTGAGCCATAATCCCAGCCCTCTAATGATATTATCAGAGACTCAAGGAGATTCAAATTTGTGCCCTTGTTGCTTCTATTAGGGGCCATTTGTGAGGCTAATGTGTGTTTGTGCATTGGGGGATTATTAGAAGGAGAGAATTCCTGAACACATCTCTGAGTGAATGACTTTCTGATCTATTCAGTTCAGTATACATTGCTTCTTTTAAAGCCTTTCAAAGAGCTGTGATCCTTTTTTATAATCTAAGAGTACTGCCCCCTCCCCCAACTTCTGTCTTTGTTTCTAACTGAAATGCTTTCTTCTTCCTCTTCCTTTTTTTTTTTTCTTTTTTGACTGGGGGAGACTGGGGATTGAACCCAGGAGTGCTCTACCACTGAGCCATACATCCCCAGTCTTTTTTTTTTAGAGAGAGAGAGAGAGAATTTTTTAATATTTATTTTTTAGTTTTCGGCAGACACAACATCTTTGTTTGTATATGGTGCAGAGGATCAAACCCGGGCCTCACGCATGCCAGGCGAGCGCGCTACCACTTGAGCCACATCCCCAGCCCCCAGCCCGTCTTTTATTTTTATTTTGGGACAGGTTTCACTGAGTTGCTGAGGCTGGCCTCAAACTTGGAATCCTCCTGCCTCAGCTTCCCAAGTTTCTGAGGTTATAGAAATGCTTTCTTCTTAATCCCATTTCCATTTCTAAAAATTCAATCTGTCACTCACTTCCCAGCTTAATGTCACTTTTTCCCAGAAACTTACTAATGTGATTGACCATCACATTTTGCCTATATTCTAGCTCTGTATCCTAGTATTCTTCTTCCATTTGCATTGTGAGTTCCTTGAGTTCTGGTTCACCTTCATAAGAGGCATTAGAATGAAGAGGTTAGAGGAGGCCAGGTTTTACTCCTCACTCAATTCTTATTCCCCATGAGACCTCAAACAAATAAATTACTTTTACCTCAGACTAGAAAGTGGACATAACATTACCTACCTCACAAAACTATTTTGAAAATAAAGTGAGATAACATCATAGTAAACATTGAAATATCATTTCCTTTTTCTTTATCATTATAGCACCTACTCTATGTAGCACCTCATCCATGCTACAGGCCTTCAATTAATGGTGATTGAATGAATGAATCCAGATCCAAAGTGGTTTCCACAAAACTCACCTTTGATTTAAATCAATGGCAGAACCTAGAATAGAATCCAGGGCTCCCAAGTATCCCACACTTGTTCCCACCTACACATGTCAAATTAATGAAACTCCTCAAATTGCTTTTCATAAAGTCTCTAGAAAGGAAGAGGGTTTTGTTTTGTTTAATAAATTGTAACCCTTCTGCAAAATATATAGAATTCTGTTTGTTTGCTTGAACTTTCAAATAAGCAATTGTTTTCTTACCTGCCTTGACATTTTAGAAAGAGCCACAGATGGAATCCTAAAAAAGAGTCAACATAGTGTTACAATGGAAAGATTTGATTCAGATTAGAATTTTAGAAAGCTGTTGGTTGTTAACTCTTAATACTCCACAAATCCTTCAATTAGTGAAATGTGTTTTGTTTTGTTTATTTGTTTTGGGGTTATTGGAGATTGAACCCAGGCATGCTCAACCACTGAGCTACATCCTCAATCCTTAAAAAAAATTTTTTTTTTTGAGACAGGGTCTTGATAAATAGCCCATGCTGGCCTCAAACTTGCAAACCTCCTGCCTCAGACTTTTCAATCACTAGGTATGCACCACTGTACCCAACTGTGAATGTGTTAATTCTGTGTGGTTTTTCTCCACTCTTTTCTTTTTTTAAAATGTTTATTTTTTAGTTGTAGTTGGACGCAAAGATATTATACCTTTATTTTTTTATTTATTTTTATGTGGTGCCGAGGGTCTAACCCAGGGCCTCACATGTGCTAGGCTAGCACTGTACCCCTGAACCATGACCCCAGCCCCTCCACTCTTTATTTATATTGAAGGTGGCATGTCATCTCCTGTATTCTTGTCTAATAAAGATAGAAAAATCTCTTTACTGATTATGTCATTTCAACTAAGCTGGAGGATCTGATTGTACTTTTTAGTGAAAGGAAACTTGTAATTTCTTGGATTGAGTGTTAAACCTTCTTGGGGAAGGGTGAGGAGGTATCGTATTATGGAATGAATACACCTTCTAGGAAATCTCCTCTTTTGTATTTCCCTTTAGGACGGTACTACTCAAAGTCTGGGAAACTTGCTAGACATGATGTACCAGGAGCCAGCACGATGGTCCTATACATTTCAAACATTTTCATTTCTGAGCCGCCTGAAAGTACAGCTGGAGCCCTTCCCTGAGAAACACGTACAGGCCAAGAAGCCCATGCAGATCTTTGAGAGGTCTGTGTACAGTGACAGGTAAGATACCAAGCCCTTTGCCAGTTACAAGCCCCATGCTCAGTTCTGTGTGTTTGTTCTTCTTGCATGACTCTGCACTGGTCTAATCAATGAAAATGGTACTTAAAAAAAAGCTTCCTTTTAAAGACAATTTTACAGATTTCTCCATAGTTGTAATTCTGCTGAATTACATGTCAGAAAAGGAAGTTGTGTTTTTCATAAACTGTATGCATTGAATTTCCCACAATGCTCTTGACTACCTTATGTTTCCTTACTTTATGGCATAGAGGCAAACTTGTACTTATCTAGTATAACTTAAATACTTAAAGTACAGAATAGACACTTAGGTAGCAGTATATATTCCAGGGAACCAAATAAATCCGTGATTGATTATCACCTAATTGAAAACTATAGACAATTAAAATTTATGTTGCCTAAATGACTACAGGAGCTCTATTCACTCTTTTTATTCTTCAGAAAAGGATGTCTAGGCAGAAATAGCACATTTGCAAAATTGGCACCTGTGTTCTATTTATCCTTTTTTTGATCCCTTCCTATGTGTTAGGGCTTATTGCTGGCCAGAGTCTAGAGTAAACACAAAATACTTATGTACTTCAGGGGCAGGTCTTCATCATGAAGGAAAGAGATGTATGGTTACTTTAAGTATAGGCTAGCAGACAGCCTGGGAGGTGAGCCCATCTATTCCAAAAGAATTACCCCATCCAGGCACCAGATTTCCTGCATCTGTTTTGCCACAAAGACGAGGCTATAAACTTGGGGTTTGGCCACCTAGAGATGAAGTTAGGGTGGCTTGATCTGAATACTGCTGAGGTTTTTCATTTGTGAACTTTGTTGGTAAAATGGTGCTTTTAAGCAGACTTATTTATTAAGCCCTTTTGATCTATCAAAATGGAACTTTTTCATTGTCCACTCACTGCTAAAGATATTCATGATTCCAAATTAGATAAACTAGTTCTTAAGTGCTCGCATAAAGCCTCCTGGAAGGAAAAAAATAAGGATTTATTTGTAAATGGCATGTGATTATCTGACTTTACCTCCAACTCATGCAAGACATGTGAAACAAACCCTGCAAGCTACACATTCCTTCTTTCTAGGCCCCAAGAGGGGTGTATTCTAAAAAAACCAAATGGGTGGATTACAAATGGTTGGGCTCTGAGTTTTAGTTCTTTTTCTACTATGTACTGGACTTCTCTCCGTTTTTCTCTCTTCTTTCAAGGCATGCCTCTTGAGACTAGGAAGTTGAGTTACATATAATCTTCTGGATTGCTTGGAAACATTCACAGTTGGTCTTTTGACTTCTGGCCCCTTAGTGAGAGACCTCCCAGAGGAAAACAGAAAAATAGAAATACTACATTTATTAGAAATGCTTTGCTAAGCTACCTGGATCTTAACATTTACTTGTAAAGGAAGAGATAAAAATTGATCCCACTATGGAGTTACATCATTCCAGGTACCTTCATCAGAAGGGGCTTTTTTTAAGGATAACTTATTACAAATTCTAATCCTGAGTATAATTTTATATCCTTTTAAAAATTCATTCCAGGGCTGGGGGTCTGGCTAGCTCAGTGGTAGAATATGATGTTTAGCTTGCACAGGGCCCTGAGTTTCATTCTCAGTTTACACACATGCATGTGCATGCACACACACACACACATACACACACACACACACACACACAAAAATCATTCCTTTATTTGTTGGCTCAATACAGATTTATTGAATGGCTCTTCTGTTGAGGCCTCAGACGTGCTCCTGGGGCTGTATCAGAGAAGGCAGTTCCAGTCACTGCCTGTATGAGAGAATTCTAGTCTAATAGGGACTGTACACATGCGTGTTCTGAAAGAGGAATATGGGTTTTCTGGGAGAGTAGAGTACAGGGAGAAAGAAATTTAAGTCTATTTTGATTGAGTTAAAGGAAACACTAGCATGTGGTTTTAGAACAGAGACCCTGACTCTAGGCTTTAAGCCCTGTTCTTCTCCACAGCCCCTACATTCAGTCTGCAGTAGAGGTCTCCTCTTAGTGCCCAAAACCTTATCTTCTACTCCCTCTCACCTATCACTACTAGCTTTGGAAAAATAAGGGATGTGCTCATCCTCAGGGCCCATTTTATAGGACTTCTAAATTTTTCTTTATAGCATCTGAATTTCTTCTTCTAGTTATCTGTGGAAAAGCTAACAACATTTTTCAGAACTTGATTTATAAAAGACACCTTTTTCCTTTTGCCTTCAGCTAAGCTATAGCAAAATCATTCTAGACTAAGAAAGTTTGCTTTTGTTATTTTCACATTAGCTTCTTTATAGCCAGCAAAAAGCAGTGCAGTAATAACAAAGATATTTTAAATAATCCACCAGTCACTTTTTCTAAGCACTTTATGAGTATTATGTGCAATCATCACAGTAATGGGTTGAGAGAGTTCAGGTGACTTTCCAGTGTGTCATGGCTAGTGAGCATTACAGCCAGGATCAGACCCTGCAGAGTTACTTTGGAAACTATTCTCTTAAAGGCACACTCACTGTCTTCCCCAAGTCATTCATACACAAGGATTCTGAATTTCATTTTCCCAGAAGTAGCCAGTTGCTGAGCATTGCCTTAGAAACCGGAGTTCATTGTTGAGGATATAAATTGTGTTTTATATCAAAATGCCTGTGATTTGAAAACGGACTTGACCCCTCCAAAGCCATGATTTCTGTTTAGCTCTGACTTCCTATTTACCAGAGCCTCCTTTTGTTGTGGAAGTAAGCAAGAAGCAAAGCTAGTTTGATTTGCAGCTTTAGAGTGTTTAATCTGACTTAGAAGTTTAGCAGCAGAGGAAGCAAGCCAGTAGGAGCTCATACGTACTTTGGCGGAGAGTCTACTTTCTTGTTAATACTGAAGTTAGTAAGAAATGTATTTCCTGCTTCATAGATGACACCACATAAAGGTAGTTCCCTCTTCATTTCTCAGCTAGACAAAAGGGTAGCTTAGCAGGCAGAGGACTCAGAGGCCTTCAGTCCTTAAATATAATATGCTGAGTGGCTTTATGCTGGATTCACTTGTTTTTGTTTTTTGGGGGGTAGGTACCAGGCATTGAACTCGGATACTCAACCACTGAGCCACATTCCCAGCCTTATTTTGTATTTTACTTAGAGACAGGGTCTCACTGACCTCATTGGGTCTCACTGACTCTCAGTTGCTGAGGCCAGCTTTGAATTCATGATCCTCCTTTCTCAGCCTCCCGAGCCACTGGGATTATAGGTTTTGTTTGGGGCCTTGCTATCCCAGGAAATCCCACAAGTTGCACCCTTTGCTATGTGTCTCAGCTGGTTGAAAAATTGTCCTGGACCAATGAGTTACTCTTCTGGTATCCCTTTTCTTGCAGTGACTTATTGCATCTGGAAAGCTGTGGTCTCAGCCTTTAAGTTGAGGTACTGTTTTCCACCATAGTGTTGAGCAGGGAGGGAGCTGTGGGTTAAGAATTCAGATTTCTTAAGGATTGATGAGGAGCTAGAAAGGTTAAGTGCTTTGAACAGACATGGAACAAGTGGTTATTGATTTTTGTGCTTGTCTCTCTCTTATGCTTTTCATTCCATTTCCCATTCTTCCTCCATCCCCACCCCATCCCACTTACATTTCTAACCAGGTATATCTTTGCCAAGAATCTTTTTGAAAATGGTTCCCTCAGTGACATCGAATGGCACATCTATCAGGACTGGCATACTTTTCTCCTGCAGGAGTTTGCCAGTCGACTGTCATTACATGGCTTCATCTACCTCCAGGCTACTCCCCAGGTAACTCTGAACCTAAAACCTTCGTCTTCAGGGCTTCATGAAACTAAGAGGGTGACTTTCAGATTTTCTTGTTGGAGAAGTTAGAACACAGGCATTATACAGGGCAGAGAGAGCAATAGGTGGACACCTCCTAATCTAGTGTTGAGCAACCCATTTCCCACAGGTTTTGTGCAGCAGTGTGCTCAAGCAATTAAGTATGCATTAAAGGGTCCTGCTTAATGAAGCCACAAAGCAAGAATAAATTGGGCACTATCCCTGTCACTCTAGGTTTATGGCATGGACACTCTGAACTGTAGCCAGTGGCCTCAGTGCTTCCTTCCAGTGGCAGGGTCATATGAGGTTGTAATGATCTCATTGGTTTTCTGAATAGGATGTGGAGAGGGAGAGAAAGAGGATTTTTCTCACCTCATCCTGATATTGCCCTAATTTATTGCCTCTTTTGAAATGTTGAGGAGGCCATGGGTGTGGTAGGATGGACTATAGAAGTTCATTCTGTGGCTTTCTGACTTGCACTTTGAAGCCAGCCAACATACAGGATGACATCATGGCAGGAGACTGAAGTCTGTGGAGACAGCATGGTCTTTGGTTTCTGCTGACTGGCAGTGAGAGTAGGCAGCCCCAGGGAAAGCTTTGCACTGGAGGGGTCCTTGTCTATAAAATCCATGACTGGGACAAGATATCTCTAAAGACTTCTGGAGTGGGATTTCAAGTCACGGTGAGAGGAACTTGCTGAGAGATGCGTTGCTCTCAGCTTTTGAGAAATACTTAAATGCCAACTATACCACGTAATCTTAGAAGAAAGGAAAGCTGTCTGCATGCTAAAGGCCGTGTTTTTCAGAGCTAGGGATAAGCCTCATGGCAAAAGTGAGCCTGAGAGCAGATTGAATAGGGTCAGAAAACAAGTAGGAGAGTCCCTGTCTCAGAGACTCACACAGGCCGTGGAGCAGAGGACTGGAAAGAAGGATCTTACCTTGGGAAAGGAGCAACCAAACAAGAAACCTTTGAATATGACGAGATCCAGATACTGGGGATCTTTGTTTTGCGGGTTTCTAGAAATTATAAGGCAGAAGCTAAATTAGGAGGGAATAAGAGAGTACACAGAAATAAAGAGTCTAAGGTTTAAAATGAAAATGAACTAGAGGTTCTTGAGGCCAGAGGGCTGAGAACCTTTTATGAAGCTGCTGCTTCTTTTTTGTTTTAAATATATTTATTTTTTAGTTGTAGTTGGACACAATAGTCTTTATTTTATTTTTATGTGGTGCTGAGGATTGAACCTAGGGCCTTGCACATGTTAGGCAAGTGCTCTACTGCTGAGCCACAATCCCAGTCCTGTGAAGCTTCTTTTTATGACAAGAACCACTCTAGCCTGTGCAGTGGTACACATCTATAATCCCAGCAGCTTGAAAGGTTGAGGCAGGAGGATCACAAATTCTAAGCCAGTTTCAGCAATTTAGCAAGACCCTGTCTCAGATAAAAAGGGCTAGAAATATGGCTTGATGATTAAGCACCCCTGGGTTTAATCCCTGGCACCACAAAAAAGAGAACTAGGCTAAAGTTAGGTGCATTAATGCCATTTGACATTTCTGAGACTTCTTTCAGTGGTTTTCATTGCTTGGGAGCAGGTATATAAGAGGCAAATTAATGAAAGTGATTATTTTAGAGGTAGGTATCATTGAATAGGGAAAGAGAAATCCCTTGCCAAAGAGGTTAGCTTGAAGTAGCTGAGGGTCGGGTTTAAAGTGAGAGAAGGCTTGCTCCCAGGAGGACTCACTAGTGATAGAACTATGTTGTTGGGTTGAGTGAAGATTGTGGTTGGCATTTAAAAAGGTGACAAGTTTTCCATGGGAGTCATGGGATGACTGGATTCAAGGAAGCAGAAGCTTGAGAGGTTGGGCATTAGAAGGGAGAGTTCTGACCCAACTTGTTCCAAGGGAGACAGAAGTTCAGCACAGCAGCTTAGTATCATGAAGACAGTGTTGGGAGGAGCAAAGGAGGAGGTGGGCTGATCTGTTCCTAAGAGTAAAACAGTGCTGCCTGGCCAACTCACCGGCCCCTTTTTTTGGGGAGTGGAGGTTGGACTCAGGTACTGGGACCCACAGGAAAGCAAGCAAGTCTCTTTCACTTTTTTGTATGTACTCCGAGGGAATGACCTATGAGAGGGATAGGGGCAGTGATGGTGATGATGGTGATTATCTCTGGAGGGTCTTGATATATTCTTTTGAGGAGATTAACTAAAGTACTTTAGCTGGTATAGGATGAACTGGTATAGGATGTAGTGAGTCAAAGGATTATTGCAACTTAATGGCAGAGAAGGAAAAAAGCTTGTTGGGGATTAGATGGTGTTGTTTTGTTGTTGTTGTTGTTTTAATTCTAGGGGGTTTTTTTGTTTGTTTGTTTTGGTTATTTTTAGTTGTAGATGGACACAGTACCTTTATTTTATTTATTTATTTTTATTGTGGTGCTTAGGATCAAACCCAGTGCCTCACATGTACTAGGCAAGTGCTCTCTCTACCACTGAGCTACAACCCTCGCCTGTAGATGGGGATTTTAGTTCTTTTTCTGATGGCATTAGACCCAGGGATTCAGGAATGCCCACATCCTTCCTTGTTGCCCAAGAGAACAGCAGAACAGAAGTTAAAATATCTTTGTGTAAAAACGGTACCAGTGCTCAATACTCAGCACAGAGTGCTGACAATTCTGTTTAGAGCATGTGAGATGGATCGACCTCAGTAGGGCCTTCAGCTCCTTTTCACCTGTTTTCCCTTAAATTCTAAAAAACAAACAAGCTTGTAATTTTAAAAAATCAGAAGAGAAATGGCTGGATCTTGGTGTTTCCTCGGTACCTTGGAATTAGGTAGAGTTTTGCAGCCAGCCAGGGTGCCTCAAAGCCTTGCCTGGGACGGTGAAGCATGGAGACTGGCATACAGTAGATGTGTGAGAACAAATGGTACCTGGGTTTGGGGATTGGGAGGCACAGTGAACAGATCCAGCGGTGGTCACCATCCAGTTCCTGTCTCTGACCCTGAGCAGTCATACTAGCTCTTCTCCCTGTTGTCTAGGAGGTTAGCTAAAGGATCCCTCCCTGCAGTATACACCTACATTGTCTTTCCTGTTCTCATTCAAGTGTATATTCCCTAGGAGGACTGTGATGAGTGGAGCCAGGCAAAAGCACTATTTGAACTTTTTTTTTAAAAAAGAATTTGTTATAACCATGTCAGTAAAGCAAGAATTATGCCACATGTTCAAAATAGGAGTTTACCTAGACTTCTGGGGTGGGGGGGGGATGTTTGCTTTGTTTAGTAAATTAATAGTAAAAAGGACAATATTAGCCTATTTTAATAAATCAGTGTTCACATCAGCGTCTGAAGCAATGAATTCTAAGTAGCTTTGTAAGAATTGCAGTGTTCTAATATTTAAAAAATATTCACTAATTCAGATAATATTTTTCTCTCAGAGAAGTAGAGAATCGGTAGTAGTTTAGGAAATCCCAAACTACTTGCTGTTGGGAATATAAATTGGTTGACTTCCAAGGAGGTAGTTTGGCAGTAAGCTCATACTTTTTGGCCTATTAATCAGTTGCTTGGAATTTACTCCATAGATATGTTCACACATGGGCAGAGTGGCCTGTGTATCAGGCAGCATTGTTTGTCGTAGCAAATTATTGGAAATGACCCAATGGTCATCAATAGAGACTGTTAGAATTTATTGTGCTCTGGCTATACATTAGAAAACTTTAAGACCATAAAAAAGAATGAGAGAGTTCTTTATGTACTAATGTGTTCTTTAAGATTTATGCTTAGTGAAGTAAAACAGGTACCAAGTATATGGTGGAACACCTTTTATATGCTTTAAAAAAAAAGTGAAAGTATGTGTATAAATTATTTCTGAAAGTACACAGAAAGTTAATAACATAGGTTGTGGGTAAAGAAAACTAGGTAGCTGGATGTCAGGGATACACTAAAAAGCTGGGATTGGGGAAGGAGAAGAAGGGGAGGTCTTAGAGCTGTCACCATTGAGGGTGGGGACACAGAGGTAGAAAGGTAGAAGGAAAGAAAAAGAGGCAGGTTCCAAGTGACGGAAAGTAGAAAAGAAAGTAAGCCAGGCATGGTGACACACACTGGTAATTCCAGCAACTCAGGAGACTGAGGCAGGAGGATCACAAGTTCAAAGCCAGCCTCAGCAATTTAGTGAGACCCCTGCCTCAAAATAAAATAAAAATAGCTGGGGGTATAGCTCAGAGGTAGAGTGCCCGTGAGTTCAATCCCCAGTATCCCTACCACCACCCTACACTCAAAGCAAATCAAAGTAGGAGAAAAAGATAGATGGAAAAACTAGAGTAGAGAGTAATTTTTTTTCCCCCAGTACTGGATATTGAACCTAGGGCACATTACCACTTAGCTACATCCCTTGCCCTTTGTATTTTTTATTTTGAGACAGGATCTCACTAAGTTGCCCATGCTGGCCTCGAACTTGGCATGCTCCTCTCTCTGCTTCAAAAATCAATAGGATTATAAGTGTGTGCCACTGTGCCCAGCTGAAAACAGTAAGTGAATACATGCAAGAATATTTTTTGGCCACCTACTCAGCCATGTCCCGTGCTTAGCCCTAAGCAGGACAGAGTCTAACCCTGCCTTCTGGGTGTCCCCCAGTCACTGTGTGCCCTCCTAAGTGTCCTGTGCAGACCTCACTCTAAACTCTGATTCATCTGAAAAACAGTAGTCTGTATTTGCCCAGAGCCTTGCCAGCATTCAGTTCTCAGAGTGGAGCTCTGAGGGTGGGTCACAGGTAAAGGGGACCTCCATAGAAAGTAGGAATTTGAGGCACCCTGCCTTTCCATGAGTCCATGCTGCCTCCTCCCTTATGTCCAAATTGCTAACAGCAAATCAGATTCCAAGGACAGTGCTATATCTAAATTAGGGGCAATTATTATTAATTGATTAGGGAAAAAGCATAGAAGAGATAACAACTAAAAGTGTTAATCTTTGAGACCTGTGTCTTCTCATTAGTTTGGAAAGCTGGACATAAAGTCCTAAGTGAAATTTGCTTAGTAGAAAGATAAAAGGGAAACAGCAAAGACCCCAAGTTTTTGAGAATATTGTCTACTACATTTGGGGATAATGCTCACATTTTTTAAGTATTTGAGAGAGGAGGTCCTAAAATAGTGGGTTAATCCATCTATACTTCTAGTTTACTTCCAGGACAGATGACATTCAATAATAAAACATTTTCCTGGCAGACAGAAAAACAGGGGCAATTCAGGCAAAACAAACATTTGGAGTAAAAGTTTTGAGAAATGAAGGAGCTTGACCTGTCTCAGAGGAAGAAGGTCAAATCTGGCTGAAGCAACAAGGCCAGGGGAAGAGCTAAGGAAGTTGAGGAGAAATAAGAGGTGTAAGAAGTATTTGTGTGACAAGTAACGAAGGAAACATCTACTTTCTCTGAGCCAGTGTGCTTCAGACTTTCTACCAGATGCAGAATAAATATTGTTCAGCACACAGTTAATGCGGGGAGGTGGGTTGGTGTCGAGCCTCCCGTTTTTGTTTTGTTTTGTTTTTTCTTTTCATTTCCTTGTTTTATCTTTGACCTATGCAGATTTTGCATCCTACTCTAGAGAGAGTATTTGGTATAACATGAAAGAGACGTTTCAAATTACTTACATTTTATAAATAAAAGGCCACTCATACTTCCTTGAACCTTGTGGTTATGGCTATAGGCAGTAAGAAGTGTGTAAACTATTTTAAGCAAAGAAAGTAATGTCATTATCCATTGCAGTGCTATGGAAGGCTGGACTAAGGGGACAGACTTTCAGGGGAGAACAGCTTTTGCCAGGGGCTTGATATGCCTTAACATCAGTGAATTCTGGGGGATATGTGGGGTGGGTGGAAGATGGGGAAATGCACCAAGATGACACCATTGTGCATGATGGAGACAGATTAACTCCAGACTTTATGGCCTTTGCTCTTTTCAAATACTTCTTTAAAAGGCAGAGATGCAAAAGACTTGCTATAGTCCAGGTAAGAGTCAGTGAGCACCTGATTAAGGCAGCAAGAGATAACCAATTAGAGATATTACAGAGAATTTTCTGACTTCCTCATTGATTGGCTGGTGGAGAAGGAAAGGTACTACCAGGTTCCTGGCTTAGCTGACTGGGTGAATGATGTTTGCCATTAACTAGCTAAGAATACTCCAGAGGAGGAGCAGGTCTAAGGTTCAGGTGGAGGTAAAAAGGATGGTATAGATCATCTGATGGAATAAAATTCCAGAACAAGGCAACAGAAGCAAGACTATGACTTGTGTTGCCCAAGATGGACACATAGATATTATATTGGTCTCAGTGCTCCCGACATGGCATTGTAACAGACACAACAGCAGATGAACTCAATAGACCTGGGGATTGTCTTTTAGGTTTGTTTGAAGAGACTACACCGGAGGGCCAGGGAGGAAGAGAAGGGAATTGAGCTGGCTTATCTCGAGCAGCTTCATGGTCAGCACGAAGCCTGGCTTATTCACAAGACAACCAAGTGAGTTGGAGAAAAGAGCAATATCAGACAGAGATCTATTTTTCTACAGGTGATTGTTCAAAACAAGAGTTCAACCAGACATGTGATGGCTCACACCGATAATCCCAATGACTCTGAAGGCTGAGGCAGGAGAATCTCAAGTTTGAAGCCAGCCTCAGCAACTTTTCAAGACCTTGTCTCAAAATTAAAAATAAAAAGGTCTGAGAATGTAGCTCAATGGTAAAATGTCCCTGGGTTCCATCCCCAGTACACCGCCCCCCCCCCCCCCCCCCCCCCCCAAAAAAAAAAGTTGTTGATCCATTTTTTATTAGATACTATTGCTTCAGCTTTTTGTTTCTTTTCTCTCTTGTACGTTTCTCTAGATTAAACATTGTAATTGATAGTGGTGACACTTGGCTCAGGATGGAGAATTTAAAAATTTGGAAAAATGTCAGTTTTATTAAAGTGATACTCTTAGTTTCTGGACTGTCCCCCCTTTAGGTTTAATATGTTGTCCACTTAAAATGTTTAAGAGCTCTGACCTTCAGAATCAGTCTCAGGAATAAAAAGAAATCTTAGCCATTTTCTTTCGAGTCAGCTTTATTGAGGTTTCTGTTATTTTAATGCTGTTTATGTGCTATTTCATTGAGAAGCCATGTGAATTGAGATCTGTTCTCTGAACTCTTAAAATTTGATGAGTATATGAAGCTTGGTTCAGATTTCTTTTTTGTGTTCATGCTTCCTATAGGCTCCACTTTGAAGCTCTGTCAAACATTCCGGTTCTGGTATTGGATGTCAATGATGATTTCTCTGAAGAAGTAACCAGACAAGAAGAACTCATGAAGAAGGTGGGAAGGACTTTTTTTTTTAACTTTTAAGTTGTAGGTGGACACAATCCCCTTATGTTATTTATTTATTTTTATGTGGTACTGAGGATCAAACCCAGTCCTCACCCATGCTAGGCAAGCATTATACCACTGAGCCACAATTCCAGCCCTATGAAAAGGATCTTAACTTCTAATTTCTAGTAGTTTTCTTCTTGTTGTATTTTTATCTTCTGGTCTTTGCTTCAAAGTTTAATACATTGGGCTTTGGGGTTTGCATCTCAAATTGCAGTTCACACTCTGAAAGCCAATGGGATCTTGTACACGCTATAAATATAATTCCTATTCTCTGAAGTATGTAGGGTAATAATTATTGAATAATTGACTTGTAATATATGCTTGCCAGCTGACTTCCTCCTCTAAGGTATTCTAAAACTGGGGAAATGAGACTTCTGGATTTTATTCCCAGCTCTGCCACTTGCCGCTATACAATCCTGGGTAGCTCACATTTCTTCTTCAGGCCTATTTTCTCTTTCTCACAAAAACTCATGGGACTACATACATACACATTGTGGATAACCATTGAATAGTCTGCTGAAAATGTGAAATTTAACTCGGATTTTCTCTTTCCCACAGGTAAACACCTTTGTAAAGAATCTGTAACCCATACTAAGATGTTTTGGCTGTGATCTGGGCTCTCTGACTTTCTGAAGCTAGAAAATATTAAACCTCCCACCCACCTTTTCATCCCCTTTCCCTTTTGCCCCTCAAGCACTCTTGACAACAGGGGTGTGGTTTGTGCTGTCTTTAGATTTTGCCATTATCTTTCTTTATATGTATGTATGTATCAAGGACTTTGAAAATAAAGTTGATTGACATTTCTTTATTTTTCTAATTAATTTATTCATTTTATTTCAGGATGTCTCTATTGGTGCCTGCTCTGAACTCCCCCATATCAGTTTTCTTTTTCTTTCTTTCTTTCTCACCCCCCACCCTCCCAACCTTTCTATGTTGAGGATTTAACCCAGGGCCTGTATCACTGAGTTATATCTCCAGACCTGGTCAAAAAAAAGAAAAGGAGAGAACATCAAGAGCCCAAAGTTCGGCATCTAACATTTAGGGGTAGGCCATCCAGGATGGCACTCTGGCTTACTCAGAATACCGTGCCAGGTCAATTTCAGATACCCTGAATGGAGTGTCACTCTCTGTACAGAAAGAAGTTTTTGTGCTGCTCTTCAAGCTTCAAGGACAATTTATTGTTAAGGAGGAAAAATACATGGCTATATAGAATTGAAATGTTCTATTGCAAGAAGCTTATAGGCCCGGGATTCACCAGTATTGAATTTCCTACACTGAACCTTGAAAAGTTCTGCAGACACACAGGAAAATGAACTTGAGACTTGGAGTATCCTGGAAAACAGAAATATGTGTTTCTGTTCTTCATACTTTGGGAAAATGAGTGAGAGACTGACTTCTAACAAATGTGTCATGTTTGGAGAAAATTTCAACAATTTCTTTATACCACTTCAAAATTTAACAGCATTATTAATGTATTATTCATAATCATTAATTCATTTAAAGGGTACACAACTCAATGGTTTTTAGTATAATCTTAAGGTTGTACAACCAATAGCAATTTCCAGAACATATGCATCACTCCAGATAAAGCCCATATCTTGTTTTTCCCCCAAGATTCTCCCCTGCCGTTTAATCCTATATAACCACCAATTTACTTTCTGTCTGTCAGATTTGCCTAATCTGGACATTTCATAAATGGAAATACATAGTCTTTTTTTACTTAGCATAATGTCTTCAAGGTTCTTCCAGATTGTAGCATGTCTAATGTTTCATTTTATGGATATGCCATATTTCATTTATCCATTCATTGATATCTATCATTTTGATATAGCTGTCCTAGGGGTATGGAATGATATCTCATTGTAGTTTTGATATATATTCCTCTGATGGTTGATGATGTTGACATTTTGTAGGTACTTTCTGATCATTTGTATGTCTTACTTGGGTAACTGAATTCAAATCCTGAGAGTTCTTGATGCTGATCAGATAGATATAATGATTTACAAATATTTCCCCCATTCTACTACTTGTCTTTTTATTTTCCTGATAGCATCCTTTGAAGCACAAACAAATATTTTTTTCATTTTAATGAAGTCCATTTTATTTATTTTAGTCATTTATGCCTTTTGTAGCAAATAACCAAAATTAACCCACAATCACAAATATTCTGTTTTCTTTCTTTTATTTATTTATTTTTTATTTTGAGACAGGTTCTCACTAAATTGTCTGGTCTGCCTTGAACTTACTGTTTTCCTGCTTTGAGGTCCTGCGTACCTGGGATTGCAGATGTGTGCCACCATACCCAGCTCCTATATTTTCTTCTAAGAGTCTTACTATTTTAACTCTTATCTTTAGATTTATGATCCACTTTGAGTTAATGTTTTTTGTATAAAGAAAATAATCCAGGGCTGGGGTTGTGGCTCAGTGGTAGAATGCTTCCTAACATGTGTGAGGCCCTGGGTTCGATTCTCAGCACCACATATAAATAAAGTAAAAGTTCCATTGATAACTAAAAAAATATTGAAAAAAGAAAATAATCCAGGAGTTATCGAGTTATGGCTCGGTGGTAGAGTACTTGCCTGGCATGTGTGAGACCCTGGGTTCCATCCTCAGCACTGCATATAAATAAATAAAATAAAAGATCCATTGACAACCAAAAAAATGTGAAAAAAGAAGAAAGAAAAGAATCCTTCATTCCTTTGCATGTGAGTATCCAGTTGTCCCAGTGAACACCATGTGATGAAAAGACTGTTCTCTCCCCTATTGAAGTGTCCTGACATCTGTGTTGAAAGTATATCCCACTTATTCTCATGCTTGGTTGCTGCTTCAGATTCTGGACAAGACCAGAGATGAAGATAGGATGTTTGATGTGTTTTGGAAACAGTGATTTTAGCCATTTAGCTTTGAAGGGCCCAATTATTTAATTCCCATCTGTATTTCCAGGAACCAGTAATGTAGAAATCACCAGTAGACCTAGAATAATAGCAGTAGGCCCTCACTCTTCACTCATCGGCAAATATTTTTTAGTATCTGCATATTCTAGATACCAAGGAGATAATGGTGAACATGACAAAAGGCAGACTTTGTCCTATAAGAACTTGTCATATATTGAACAAGTGTTATAAATAAATTGCAGACGTGATCACATTTCAAAAGAAGTACAGATGTACTGTGAGGGTCTGTAAATCAAGGAGCCAACATTATCTGAAATAGGGCCCCTAAGAAAGTGACAACTGTTCTGAAGAATAAATGTGGTAAAATGTTGATGTAGAGAAAAAAGTCATGGCCACAGCCTTCATGTAAGAGTGTAGCAACAGGTTCAGTTGTCAAAGCAAAAGACTGAGATAACTATAGTTTGGGAATACTCTCCTCTTTCAAATTTTGAGTCTTGAATCAAGCATTTATCTATCTATCTATTTATCTATTTTTCTACTGGGGATTTAACCCAAGGCCACTTAACCATTGAGCTCCGTCCCCAGCCCTTTTGTTTTTTATTCTGAGACCAGGTTTTGCTAAGTTGCTTAGGGCCTCACTAAGTTGCTGAGGCTGGTTTTGAACTTGCAAACCTCCTGCCTGGGCCTCTTGAGTTTCCTAGTGCTAGGATTGCAGACAGGTGCCACCATGCTCAGCCAAATTCAGTATTTCCTTCTGTAAGCATTACCTTTTAGAATGTCAGTGTCCTCTAGGATAGTCAGCATCAACAGTCTCACTTGGGTGAAATAATTTGTTGTTTCCAAATTGGTAGTAGATCATTTGGAGATAAGCAGTAATTTTGAATTATAAGCATGGAGAAGAGGGGAAGATCTGAGTGGAACCCTAAAATATGGGGAGAACTGCATGGAGACAGGCTAAAACCTTCAAGCACCTCAAAGATTAAAAGGGGTTCCTGGGGATTGTAAATTGCACTGGAATAGACAGAATCTGCTAGCATTTTGCCTAATGGTCTCTACACTGTCAGGTCAGCCTGAGTGGCTGTTCTCACTCTTGATTTGGACTATCCCCCAGAGTCAAGTAACTTGGATTAACACATAAAAATAGCTGCATTTTTTTTTTCTGGCTTATAATGTGGCAAAACCTGCTGTTCTAGAACCTGTGGTTTATAAGGTGGATCAAGGTTGTGAAAGTTCTAAGTGAGGCAGAAGGTGATAGTTTCTGGTGAAAGAGACTGTTTGTTAAATGCAAATGCTAGAATCATGGGGAGTGGGGGTGGGGACTTAAAATGCACTTTAAAATGTAAAAACTGTTCAACCTCCTTCAGCCTTCTCTTTAAATAGTAAGCAGTTTAAATACTCTGGCCCACTTTCTCCTTGCAACCTTTTCTGTTTGTTGATATCTTTGACTCTTCTACCTCCCTTTCTGTCTCCTGGGCTGACATCTTTTTCTCTCCTTTGAAGTGTTGTGTCCCCAAGGCACCCTTGGTCATTTCTGACTTTACTCACTCCCCTCAGTGATTATATTAGCTTTCCATGACTCTGACAAAATTCATGGGAGAAACAATGTAAAGTTTTTTTTGTTGTTGTTGTTGTTTTTTTTTTTTTTTTTTTGCAGGGGGGGGCGGGGGGAGGGTGCTGGTGCATATTTTGGCTCATGTTTTTAGGTTTCCATGGTCATTTAACTGTTATTTCTAAGCCTGTGGTGAGGCAGAGCATAAGGGCAGAGTGCATGTAGGAGGAAAGCTGCACATCTCTTAGCAGCTTGGAAGTAAAGAAGCAGAGAGGGGCCCAGGGACAAGATATAGCCTTCAAAAGCATGCTACTAAGGACTTAACTTCCTCCAACTAGACACTGCCTCCTCTAAGTTTCCACTACTTCCTAATAGCCCATTAAATTATAAACCCATCAATGGATTAATCCATTGATGAGGTTAGAGCCCTCATGACCCAATCACCTTCCAAATGCCCCACCTCTGAACATAGCTGCCTTGGGGACAAGCCTATAACACATGAGCTTTGGGGGGATATTTTAGATACAAACAATAACAGTGATCTTACAGTAGTTTTTGTTGTTGCCACATCAAATGCATAGATACACAAGCATAAAGCAGCACAAATTTATAACCTTTCAGTTCTCTAGATCAGAACTTTGGCATGGGTCTCAGTGGTCAAAAATCAAAAGTTATCAGTAGGGCTGCTTTCTTCCTGGATGGTCATTTCCTTACCTTTTCTGTTCTCTACAGGCTGCCTGCATCCTTGGCCCGTTCCTTCATTCTCAAAGCCGATAACATTGCATCTCTGACCATAGTCAGGAAAGTTTCTCTGTAAGGACCCATGTGACTACATTGGGCCCACCCCAATAATCCAGCCTAATCTCCCCTCTTCAAGGTCTTAGCCTTCACTACATCTGTGAAGTACCTTTTGCTTTATAAAGCAATGTATTCACAGGTTCCAGGGATTAGGATTTTGGTTTGGGTGTAGGGATTGCTATTCTACCTTTTACAGATCTCAAACACTCCCATGGCTTCTACCGTTAGCATGGAGTAGGCCTTTTTAAAAACTTGAAAATGTTATGGGAAATGTATAAATGACTAAGGAATTAGCATAAAACATTCCTGTATCCCTATTACCCTAGCCTGTGAGCACCAGGAAGAAACTTGAACTTTGACAAAGGCAGATTTATTAACTTGAAGGAGGAAAAGCTTTTCATCCCACCCACACTGAGGCACCTCACCAATCAGAAAGAGTTGTAGGGTTTTGAGGTAGGGTAGATTGTAGGTGGAATTTAAACAGCAGTGTTTTAATAGATACAGAGCAAAGCAGGACTGTATAAAAAGAATCAACAGCTTGTTCCTACGTGCCAAGCAGACCCATGT